TTGGTAATGATGGGTAATGATCGGTGTGATTTTAGGGTACTCCTTGCAATGGTTTTAATATGTTTTAAGGAATCCGTATGCAATTCTTCTTGATGACCATGCACCACGGACTGGCTTAATCTAATCCAACCTTTGACCATCTCAGGGAACAGGTGGTCCATGGTGGGCCCTTGAACCTTGACCCAACCATTCCTGGAGAACGATCTTTCATCTCTCCATACATCGGCAGCACGCACCTGACGGTCACTGGATTTCTACATGGTGATGACAAAAATCTAAAAGATGACGATTGTTGCCGTCCGCTATTGATATGCTTCACTCTCCTGAAGTTCCCTTGGGAAAGAATTCAACATTGGAGGCTATCAAAAAACTAGCATGCCCCAGTTTGATGCAATCGGCCTGCCATGCCCGGATGACAAAAAAGATCAGAGGACCATCCATTTACAGAAAAGCCCTCTGGTTATTTGAGATAGCTATGGAACATTGTCCATTTATAGATCATTTTATCATTTATGATGATTTAATGATTTAGCGGTTTACCTATTAATGTCAAGTGAGGATTAATAATCCCCCCCGGATTAATCAACCACCATTGCCCAAAAAAAGAAATTGTAATTTAAAAACAGGTGGTCCCCCCAAGTTAATAAACCGGTGGGCCTACCCCCGATTAATCAACCACCACTTCGGAAATCAATTTTTTTATCCAACATTTTTTATTTCCAATTCTATTTATTTCCAATTGTTTTTTTTACCTTTTTTTTAATCATCATTGTTATACTTCAGGTTTAAGTTGATCATTGAAAATTTCAAAAAACAACTATTCCCCAAATGATCGATTTCTAATTAAAATATTTATAAAAAACATCAGTTTGGATAGCTCCCAAAGGGTACCCCCCATGAGCCCATGTCCCCCAGTAATAATAACCATGGTTTGCCCCTGATTAATCAACCACCTTTCTGATCCATGAAATTTTAACAAATCCAATGGAATTCTATTAAGATCTAATTGACGTAAGCCATATCCAAAGTTTTATGGTTCAGAGTTGCTTATTATTAAGGGATGGTCAAGAAAACTAGCTAGAAGGTACCTACCTACCTACCTGGTGGGGGGGGGTTTATTAATCCGGTGTTGGCATTATCTATTAAACATGTTGATTTTCCATAGCTACGTTGAATAACCAGAGAGTATTTATATCGTCCATGAGTGGTACAACAGTGTACCAACTTCGCCAGATGTCAGTGGAGAGATCTCAGCATAAAATGGTGGGCTTTGGGGATATCCTGGTACCGCAGGTTTTCACATACCAACATGGTGTAGGCTTCAAGTACCTGTCAGATTCATGGAAAATCAAACTCGGACCCCCAAACCCCTTACAGTACCCTGTTGGAAAGTCTGTCGCCAATTTTCCAGCTTCTGGGGTAGTTTCAGAAGTGACAAAATAGTCAGTAGCTGGGGTTCTAAATCCCTGATATCATTCCAGGCACAATGGGTGACAATCCACGTCCTTATCAGACTCAATTATCAAATATATTCAAATATATAATATATATTCATATATACGTATACATATACAATTATATAGATAAGCTCATTTGAAGCATCGCATCCATCTCCCACCCCGAGTCTCCAGCATTTGCAAGATGACAGTCTGCATCATGCTGGCAAACATTGAGACCTGAGCAGCAACCTGAACCTCGCACTGCTGTATTTAAGGATCATTTCACTGGATGAAACTTGCTTAAAATTCCATGGTTGATTTTGTTTTCCCACTTACATATGTGCCAATCACAGGAATGAGAAACTTACCAAACACGCATGAAGATACAACTCAACTACTTGGAATGTCAGCTCCTCAATTCGTTGATTTTTACACATTTTTACGCATGGGTTCCAACTGTGAAAAACGTCCGGCTATGATGCTTGGAACGGGACAAGACTATCGGCCCAAAGATTCCTGCTATTGCTGGCTCAGTATCAATGCACATGCATTGGTTGGTTCGCAGGGATTGTACAGTATTCCCAAATACAAATGGATGTTCCTTGGAGTTTGGGTCGAGTCCAAAACCCAAAAATCCCCGTGGAACGAGGGAGCTGTTCACATATCAACGTGATCGGCATCCTGCAGGTTCCAGATATCATGGGGGTGCAAATCCCATCCTTCAAAAAAATGGGACTCCACGACCAAATCGAAGAAACCATTTGGTGCTGTAAGAAACATCATCCCTAGTAGGATTATACCCAAGCAAAAACAACTGGGGTCGGTTTCTCATTCTTCACCCATTAAAATAACGTGGACCCGGAAAACCAAGGGCTACACGTCTATACCGTTCTATACCCGCATCATAGATATATTTATAAATGTGATGTTACCCAGGATCCATGGTGCTGGTATATTAATGCTAACATGACTGGGGTATATTGATGGGATCCATGTGACCATATATAGCAGCACCATGGATCCTATGGGTTATGAATCAACTTTGTTATGGGGGACCGGCTTGAAGGGGGGATGGGATTCTGCTCATCTCTAGCCGAGCTTCCCGACAGTTCCCCAGGATACTCCAGCCAAGCAAAGACTCGGGAACGCCTGATCCAAATTTAAGAGCTTCTCCGAGTAATACGAGGCATGATGTTAGTAAAGCAATAGGATCCACCATCCCAATTTTTACAAACTTTATGGATCGTACAAACCATCAACTTATATGATTTATATGACTGGCTTATGACATTGCTTTACTAACATGACCCCTAAATCAATGTTTTATCATGACTTTCCGTAATTTTTGTTTCTTTAAGTGGTCATGTTTGATCATGGCTTTCATATTTTTGGGGTATCGTTAAGGGACCAATTTGTTGGACATCCCATATCGCACAACGGCGATTCAGCAGGGATGCCATCCGTAATGCTAATGTGGGTTTTTAACAATGTCATCAACCAGAAAATTACTGGGAATGGTTGATATATACCACCTATATATATATTTCTGATGACTGGGGGATGGTGCCAGCATTGTTTTACCCACAATGCATCTCTGGGATGGGACCCCATTCGGCATTTTCCCACAGAAATGGTCGTCTTAGTCGCCTTCGGCCTAGTTCCCGAGGTTTTGAAGAACGAAGGTTTGCATTTAAACATGAACTCACATTCAGAATCACATTATTTCAGGCAGATGGATGGCAAGTTGACCACCAATGGTCCAATGGTGCAATAGTGATGGAATATTTGGGATAGTTCAGAATCATATGGGCACATTTTACATTTTACATACATTTACATCTTTGCAAGTGAATATACAAGAATATGCCAGTGAACATACTCAAACGGACATCCACACCCTTCCACAACTCTAGGCTTTCCAGCTTTTAACTCGAACTCCGAAACACTATGTGGACTGGATATGGCCGAATTGTATATACATATTTTCTATTGCACAGGGAGAGACTCCGAATTTTCGCTGCAAGACTCAGCAAGATCAGGGTGCCATCTTGCCAGCTTCAACAAAACAGGAAACACTTGTCACTTGACTTCGAAAAACTTTCCATATCCATACCATATCCTACTAGATCCTAATGGATCATATCCTCCTAGAGGATGGCATAAATTTATGAAACTGGATGGCGTTTGACTGGAAAAGTCATCCATGGCGTTTGTCGGATGGAACATGTGAAAATATGGTGAGCATATTGTGAAATGCTGCCAGCTAGATGTGTCTATGTCTAAAACTCGGCCAGAAATCTCCAGCGATTGGAACAGCTTGGCTGGAACACATGCCATGTTTCCGAAAGGCCGAAAACATGTGGATGTGAACATCGATGATTTAAGCAACAATAAATGATGGTTTAGCCAACAATATGGAGACTGATGAGATATTGACATAAAATATTGTATCTGGGTTTGTCTGAGATTTTGGGCATACCCCAATCCATGGTAGTGTAGTCTATGTAAAATGGGGAAAATCACGCCTTGGGCTACACTATTTTCAGACAAAGCTAATTATGTTCTTTAACCGGCGAAAGAATAATATCGCTGATATTTAGTGTTCCTCCATCAAAATGGGTCGAAACTCCCTTTTCCCAATATAATAAAGCCTACATAAGTTCGCTTATAAACACCATATAACATACATCAATTGCAGATAACTGCAGATATAGCTACCATGCTAATGAACCAACGACGACTCTCCCCGGCGGCGTGCCAACTGTTCTAAAAAACGGTGAAACCAAATGGCAGGCCTTGGACTTGAATGTAACATCACATCTGTAGCTGAATATCATGTGACCAGTGACCAGCTGCTTTCAAAGAAACAAGCTGATTCAAGGAGCTTTCAACCAAGATATCATGATATCATCGAAGATATCAGCGACATAAAAAATTGGTTTCATTCGGATTCTCGGAGCCCAAAAAAAGCAGAAACCTCTTCACAAAGAAAGGATGAACCTCCCATATCCAAAGGCCTCGGGTGCCTCGGGCTGGAAAATGTCATTGCCGGCACCGAAAAAACCCATGACCTTCGTCAAAAAAACGCCCTCGTCGTTTTAACGCCCTCAGGAAAGTTCACCTTGTTGCGAGGTGGAGCGGGGGGACTTCTGGAGCAAATCCTGTAGTGAGAGATCCACGTTGGGAACTCCTTGGTGGCTCATCCCACGGATCGTTCGTTTCGGATCGTTAGTTACGTTTCGTTTACCCCAACAAATGGGATAAGTATATCTGGTTGGTGGTATACCTACCCGCCTACCCCTCTGAAAAATATGAGTTCGTCGGTTGGGATGATGACATTCCCAACTGAATGGAAAGTCATAAAATTCCATGGTTCCAAACCACCAACCTCTGAAAAATATGGAATATGATGTTTGGTATTTAAAATATCATATCTATTATGAGGACTATACTATGATATTCACTATTGTTTGGTATAAGTATACCATATCCATACCATATCCATACCATATCCTAGGGGATCATATCCTCCTAGAGGATGGTCATATGGGTGGCCGGGCCTCAGAGCACCATGACATCTTCGGGACGAAGCCCCACCAAGATCTGGCGGCACGGACGCCATGAAGATATATTAACATCTTAGGAATGATAAAGGAATATTGATCAATGGTCATTATAATGGGAATAATAATGTTTAATGGGAATATCAATGGGAATATATTTTGTCAGATGCGAACCATGGTGCTGGAATATTTACCTACAAAACTGGGTGATTTTTGGACAAGGGCAAATGTTGGTAAATATTCCAGCACCATGGTTCGCATATGGGTGGTTCGCATATGGGTAAGGGATCTATATGAAGATCTCATAGATTTGCAAATTTGGACATCTAGAGATATAGCTTCATATATATATATATGATATCATAGATCTATGAGGTTATTATAGATTTGTTTTTGCAAAAGTAATGAATTGCGCTAAAAGTAAGAAATCGTGGATAGACAAAGAAGCAACACTAATACATGATGAGGATACGCATTACGTATGTATATAACCAACAAACAAATGAAAGTAACCAATCAATGTACAAAACATTCCTGTTAATGGTGCCGCCCAAAAAAATACTTGGCACCAATCCTATTTTTTGACAGCCAACGCCCAGGCAGCAGGGACTGTTAGAGGCTTGATCCTGTTCTCCGTGGGAAGGAACATTGGCCCAGTCCACCATCAATCATCCAGCTGAATGTCCAGGAAACACACCGAAAGCAATGAACGGATTCCCAGGATGGATACTGATAATCCATTCTAAGCATCTACTTGGTGACTTGCTCATGCCACGGATCGTGGGTTAGAACACCGTTAAATATTAAGTGGATTAACATGGATTAACCCTACTTATCCCATGTAAATCACTGGGGTGAACTCACTTGTGTCCACTTGTGTCCAGAGGTACCATGGTAAACCCATGGTAAACCCCAAGAAATGCCATGTGAAAGGAACCACTTAAAATTAGATATTTGGAACTATGATGAACTATGAGGATTTTGTGATGCACAGATCTTTCACCCCAAAGATCCTCAGACGATCCTCGCATCCGAAAAACCGATCATTAAAGCCGCCTCGCTCTCGTTCCACAGTTCCTCCCAAATCTTGGGGTCGTAAGAGGTGAATTTTGGCCGGAAGGGCAACATCTCCTGCGCCATGGATCCGTGGATCCGTGGATGTTGCCAGACTTCGGGTACAGGTACAAAAGATAGGAAAAACGATAGGTCAGTTTCCTATTCATCAAACAGAACTTCGGAATCTGTTAACAAAAGTTCTATGGCAAGAATCTAAGTCTTACCCTCTGGTCAACTTTCACATAACTATGGAAAGATCCACCGTTTTTAATGGGTCAATTCACTATTTCTATGGCCATTTTCCATAGCTTTTTGTATGTTTACCAGAGGGTAATCCCGTGGAATCCCATCTGGTGCCTTGGCCGCCGCCGGCAGATCGCTCAGCGGATCGAAGTCCACGGAGGCTGTGGGGCGCCCGTCCTGCCAGTAACGTCCTGCCGCGGCGGTGAATGGCTCTCTGAATGGGTGACCAAAAAGCACCAAAAATGTTAGAATTTGATGGGAATTCAAAAAAATGATATGGCACTTATATGGGAATTATATGGGATTTTATGGGATTTATATCGTAGCAATGGTCATTAGAATGGGAATACATAATCATGTTTAATGGGAATCTCATATGTTGTAGATAATAGATACCAGATGCGAACCATGGTGCTGGAATATTTACCCACAAAACTGGGTGATTTTGGACAAGGGCACTTGTTGGTAAATATCCAGCACCATGGAGCACCTGGGGATATATAAATGTTAATAGATTCTAACCGATTATCATCATAGATATATATATATATAGACAATAGATTCTAGTCAATTATCATAGATTACGAAAAAAATCAATAGTTGATCATAACTTTAAACCATCACTTAAATCATGGTTCCCAAGTTCAACTGTAAAAAAAAAAACAACATTGACCGGGGCAATTTATGCGATGAATTTATCACCTCGTCCAAACGCGACCTGGTGGTTGACCCCTCATTCTTTTGATCGTTCATCCTCTATGGAAATTCATCATTTTTGGTGATTCATCAGCTATTTGTCCAAATTCCGCATCATTATTCTCATTTGATGATTCAAATTCTAGAACATATCTTTTGTTCATGATGAAACCATATTAAACCTCTATTAAAATCCCTATTGATCAGCAATTCTTGGGTGAAACGTTTCCCAAATTTGTTCAGCTCCGGGTCCTGAGAGTTTCCCCTCCGGCTGGGTGGCCAAAAGAACGGACCTCAGCAGTCCGGCGCTTCTAAACGAAATTTAATAGTAGATACACTATAATAGTTTAGAATTGAAGATATTGTTCAATAGTGTTATATCTCTCGATATATGAACCAATAGACTAATTTGTTATATCTATAGATATGGTTCAATAGTGTTCAATTTAATGTTAAATTTAATAATTCTATCATGATATATGTATAGATACGGTTCAATAGTGTTCAATTATAGCTATATTATGGGTTAAGAGATAAGTTGCTTAACCAAGGTTTAGATAAGTTGGTGAACATACGCCGTTAATAACTATTGGGTTTATAGTAAATATATCGAACTAGTTGCTATGGCTTATAAACAAACTTGTAACTGGGGGGCACCAGTTTGCAGTTAAACATCCCCACTGATTAAAAGTGTTTTGTTTTATTATTACCTTATGACATTTGAACATGGCTTTAGCCCAGTTTAGTATGGTTTAAACTATCAATATAGCCGATGTTTTTAGCCCCTTTACCAAAGATGGATTTTAATTAATGACCTATATACATTACAAGATGGATTGTCCTAATCTATATTTGTGAGTTTGCTAAATCAGGGTTGCTTCCAACACCTTAAGCACAAGGTTAATTGACTAAGGAAATACTGTCTGCTGTAATTTCTTTCATCTGGAGGTGCTTGCTTGCCAGAGACCACGCCGCGGTGTGGTGAAGACACACTAAATAGTATAGTAACCCCCGAATAGACAGAAAGTTAATCTTCTTCTTGGGGATAACTATTATATATATAATTATATATATATTGGTGGGATCATTGTAGGATAGTTGTAGCAACTAAATGGGAATAGTTACGATTGTCATGAAATGATAAGGCCATATATATGGGATAATTGTTATGGGATAATCACAATCACGCCAACGCAAATAAGAGTTATTAGTGGGTGTAGTGGTATGTATGTTTCTTCTAATGAAAGATGACCCCGCACACAGTTGGTTGCTGGGATGGATGATGATAATGATGGCATTGGCTTTACCACATTAGTAAATTTAAATAACATGACGCCAACACTAGTACATAGATGATGGACGCCAACATCTGTAAACAAAGTGAAGCCACATTGGTAAATCAAGTGAAATGTGTCAAAAATTAGATGTTAACGCGTGATCAAAGATACTCATCACCACGATTCAGGGGCCCGTGGTGCCAGCCGGCTGGCTTCATGGATCAAATTAGATGTGTCACATGGTTTAAGCTTTCTTTTGATGGTTCAGTAGCATCAAACTCCAAATTTGTGTGGAAAGGTCCTCTTCGGTATCCAATTTGAAAAGCCATAGCTCCAAAGTCAGCTAAGGCTGGGGATCTGCCGAGACGCGTCTTTGCTCCATCCTCTGGTGTTTTCAAAACGTATCGTAGCAACGGCCTCGGGCCCAGAGTAAATGGCTTTGGACGCATCTAATGGATTCTCGTGGCGAGGTGCAACTACAGTACTGTGGAAGGCCAAGCATCGTATACATATACCAGGTAATATACCACATATATTGAATGTTGCATGATGTTGCCATTTTACTTAAACACACATAACACATGAAAGGGGGGTTATTTGCAGCCAACAGTTTAACCACCAAGGGTTCATACAGTGAGGCAATAACAAGTCGTTCTTTCAGGTGGGTCATGTTCGCCCTGGCATTCAGTTTGTTAAGCAAAAACGCTGGCCTTGAATTCGGCAATGGCAATGTATCAAAGTAGTTGTCGAGATTAAAATGTGCGTGAAACTTTCCCTGAAAGCCAGTGTGCAAGCATGAAATCGAGCCTGTAGAAGATCAATTGTGACAACTACTGGGCTTAGCATGTCAAGTACCAGAGGTCGAAGTGGAAAAAACATGATTTCATCGTGAATCAGGAAATGGCAATCACACAATATATGACTCTCGCTTGCGCGTCGTAGATCTATTACTGAATCAAACCAAATAACCAAGTCAACTGTTCCAACAGGTTGGATAGTCCAAAGGAACAAACCGTGTGCTCAAAATGTATTGTTTAATGTTTCAACATGTCTGAAAATCTGATATGAAAACACAATGACAATTCTGGACTAGACAGCTCAACTGAAAAGAACACGCAAAACCGTAATTATTAACATTATAGATTTATTATGATTTACTATACTCAACATGAATGGTATGGGACCAAACCATGGTACCCTGGTTTCGACAGTTCTTTAAATGACTCTGACCCATCTCAAATAGCCCAAATCCGCATTCTGGTTCCCTTGATGTTGATGAAATCTCGATTCTTGATCGTGAAACGAACACGTTTTGTTGCTAAAGTATGCCAAAGTCCCTCATTGGGGCTTTCCTAAAATTGGGGATACCCAAGTCACATCCCAAGTCACCATAGGTTTCAATAGCAAGTTATGGTCCAATGACTTTGATGATTTGGGGGTACCATCTTTCCTCACCATCCACCGATGGACTTGGTGAGATTCTCCACGGGAATAAGACCCAGCAAATCTGGCGAAGGCCCAGCATACCTAGATGTGCACGTGCTGATACGCTTCACCGATCACTCAACAAATGGTATACGTTTTAACATTTTTTAATCAGGTGTAATTACTTGACAAACATACACTTAAATGGGGTCTGCTAAGCCGCTAAGTCATGGGGGTACCTATGGGTTTCAATACTAAAGTGGTCTAATGAATTGGATGATTGGGGGACCCCATGACTTAGGAAACCACCAAATGATACATATATATATATGTATATACATACATGATTTCAAACCACCAAAACTTGCGCACGTAGCCTTCAACCGACCGAATACAATATCACCTACAGTACCCAACATGGAACAAAATACGTTGACCCAATTGGAACTAAGGAGGTTGACCAGCAACTTGGTCTTGCTTCCTTGAGTGGCTGCTCAACCACCGGTCATGAAACCAAATCCCAACATATCATCATGTAGAATACAGTTCAAACAAAACATGTCAAATACGACCCAAACTTGCTAGCCATGCGAAGCAAATTCGCTCACAGCCCTCATCTCCCGCTGTGTTTCCTGCTCGTGTAGTTTCACTGTCTACATAATTTAATGTAGTCTCTCCCTCTCTCTCTCACTCTTTCTCCAACTCCATCCGTCCATCCATCCATCCATCCATCCACATACACATATATATGTATGTCCCATAGAAACTGAGGTATATTCCATCTCTATATACGTATAACTATATATATACACATATACGCATATGTATATTAAAACTGATCTATATACATGTATATTGATGATGAATGATCATGATCTCTGGCATTTTTTCAATTTCACTAACCTAACATCTTCGGTCCCTGGATGCCCGCCTAAAGAGCTCGGTGTTCACCACCCCGGGGTGCAGCGCATTGCTGACCACGCGGAGGCCCTTGGCGCGGCAGCGACGGTCCAACTCGTAGGAGAAGAGCAGGTTGGCCAATTTGGATTGACCGTAGGCGCCCCAGGGAGTGTACCTCGAAGGTCAAATGGCTGCGTGAGCTACTCTATACCTATGTATATAAATATAAATATAATATGTATATATATATAATTATAAAAGATTATGTATATATACCCCCCAAAACGGGTGTGCCGCCCAAGGTTTATCATGTGACCAACTCTTTAGGGTTTATTTAGGGTTTGTTTACGGGTTGTTTAGGGTTTGTTTAAGGTTTATTTAGGATTTCATTTAGGTGTTTTCTTTTTTTAACCAAGGTTTTAATAAGATTCTACTTTCAAGGCGTACTTGGGGTTTCATGTCTGATGATGATGATGATGACGAGAGCAATTCTCGCCAGCCATTGGGGTAGATGGCCGACATCCTGAATCTCATAAAACACTGGCCCTGCGCAGTCAAAACGCACTTCCCTGGGCAGCACACCCGTCCTGGCTGTGTATATATATATATATATGTATATATATATATATAGATAGATAGATAGATAGATAGATAGATAGATAGATAGATTAATAGATAGATAGATAGATAGATAGATAGATAAATAGATAGATAGATAGATAAATAGATAGATAGATAGATAGATAGATAGGTAGATAGAAAGATAGATACATGTCTATACCTTTGCTTAGCACACATGATATAATTGTATATACAGATATATACAGTATATATATATATACGTATTCATATGTGTATATATATATATATATGTATACACATATGGCAGTATACATATACAACAATAAGTGCATGTAGCAAGAAAATACACAATGTCCCACAGATTCATGCTAAATTTAATGTACCTTAGGATTCTACCAGCAATAAGTATAAGCAATAACTAGAGAATATCACTATGTGAAAATGAACTAACAATTATACACATTCACATCATGTTGTTTGACGTATTGGTTGACACTATTGGTTTCAAGTGTACCTAGGATGGCAGGCGAGACAGCCATGAGACCTGTACAGTGAATGCTTCTGTAACTTTTGACTGCACCCACCAGCAAACTCACAGGTGTTTCCTAAAATAAGGGCACCTCCAAATCATCCAAGTCGTTAGAGCATTTTAGCATATTTTAGTATTGAAACCGATGCTGACTTGGGGATCCTCCATTGAAACCTCAGCCTGTTGGTAACCATCAATTGTTCAGGTTGCATTACATTTGGCATCTCCTAAATTGTTGTACACTGAAGTTGACGCACATAGAACCAACATGGACACAAGGAAATGGGAGCGGCCACCACAAGCCAAGAATTTCAAAGACATATTTCATCTTCTAGAAAATGTTTCTCTGCATCCAATCCACACCATTTATCTAATTTATGATCTTCCTCTACAAGACTAAAGCATATCGTCCACACCAATTGCTAGATTTGTTTTGATCTATAGTCTATGATATCATCCCCCTCTACAAACACGCGTCGATCTGCATTTGTTTTTACCACATTTGTCATTGAAATAAGGCGACATCTACAAACAATCTAGATATCAAAATCAAAAAAAGGACAATCACAACAACCATCAACAACCATATGAATCAAGAATCAGAATTTTTCTTTCACTCAAGATATCTCAAAATGATCCAAAATTGCCAAGCGACTCATCAGACTGCAAGTCTCCCAGGTCTCCCTTCAGCAGCTTGGAAGGAATCCTGGGAAACCATCCCCCAGTCGTCACCATTTTTATAGGTGGTATGGTTACCATTCCCAGTGAGGTAAAAATGACATTGTTTTACCCACATTAAGCCATTTATACAAAAGATAACCCACTGAATGGAGACAACACTTCGAAAAGCAATACATCATAAGCACCATAAGTTTGCACTCTTGCCTTCATGACACCGAGAAGATACTTGCCCCGATAGCGGCTGTTCAGGTTCAACCTCTTGGACCTTCACCATGATCGGCCCAGGGTCACAAATGGATCGACCCATTCTGATTTCATTGTCGGCCTCCTTGTCGAGTTGAAGCTCTACGTTCATTGTCGTCTTGTGACTTCCCCATGTCCTTTTTATATCCCTGGATGGTTTGCCGAAGCACAAATGGTGACTTTCCATTGTCATCTTCCCTTATATAGCAAAGAATGTGATGCAAAACCCAATCGTCATTCATATTTAAGAACAAAGAATGTCTGGTTGCTGGTTCCAATCCATCAAACCAAAGTCAAGAATTCGATGAAGACCATTGTTCTATCTAAAGGGCTCTATCAGAAATAGTCAGTAACATGCTGAACCGGCAATCAAGTCTTCAGAATTGCCTTGCAACCTTCATCCGAAATGGACAACTCACCCGTCCGTTGTCCCATAGTTTTCATCGTTACAGAAACTGGTCTCCCCATGACATCCAGATTTTTTGGTGGTTTCCAATTTCTACCATATTTTTCCTCAACCCGACAAAAACAGACGTCAGCAGTCGAGTCACTGATGAGCGGAGGAGCTCAGGGCGATGACCTTGGGGGTTTTGGTCGAAAAGTCACAGGCTTCAAAATCAAAATACCATTAAAACATATATTAAAACCAGCAAAAAGAATAGTTTAATGGTTTGGTTCCCTTGGGAACATTTCTGGAAACCATGCCTTGTTTACTGCAGTTTCCATGGAAATATCAAAGGAGTGTCACCAAAATCATCAACGAATTAGAATAGCGATGTACATGTGTATATATATATATAAATATTGATATTGATATTCCAATTATTAATAATAATTACCACCCCACTAACCCTTGCTGTATTGAACTCTTGCGGATGACGTCCCCTATTCAACTATATGCGTTAAAGGGTGAAGTTGTTGTGTGTTTGCGCAATTTATCGAGATCAATGAATGGCTGGTCACGTGGATCAGAGATTTTCGTCAGGCTAACTGGCCACAGCCAAGTCAAAAAACGGATGTTTCATACTTTGGGGCCCTTGCAACCTTGGGGGTTCCCCAAGGGCCCCATCTGGGAGTTTTCTTGGGAGCCTCAGTTCATAGCCTCAGGGAAACTTTGGCACAAAAAAACAGTACAGGTAGTACATCATATACTGTACAATTACAAGTCCAATATCAGATAACGAACATATTCGTGAATAATATAACACAACTGTGTTCATTATATGTACGTATGTATATATATATATATATATATCGTTATATACTGTATATATATATATATATTATTGTATATGGTCTATATTTATATATTTAAACTGTATACAATTAATATACTGTAAATATGCATACAGCATTTAAATATTATAAATACGCAGTGTGAGGCAACTAACACATCCGCCGTGCCACGCGCGCGGGGTCCCTCTCGGTTCCACTCAGCGCCAGCTTGTCGATCAGCAAATTGGTCAGGAGGAAATGGCCCAAGTGGTTCACTCCAAACCTTGGTGCCACGTGGTAAACGTAGGAAACCTGCTTGGGAAACTATATGTATATTATATTTATATATTGTTTGTGCATAGTGTCAAATTAGACATAACACAAATATAATATCAATAACATATTGATATGACATTGGTATACTATCAATATCATATAAAGCTCATAATATCATATTATAACATCACATTTTGGAATATAGTCTCATATCGTATCATACTATAGGTTTTATAACAACAACATTGTTATACAACAGCTAATTCATACAACGAGTTTTCATTCAATATACATAAATGATCATAAACAGTTTGGTGGTATACCTACCCCTCTGAAAAATATGAGTTCGTCAGTTGGGATGATGACATTCCCAATATGATGGGAAAATCATAACAGTCATGTTCCAAAGCACCAAGCAGTAGATAGATTTAGAATTATTACCCCCATGCTATTCCCATCGTACTATTCCATGCTTGTCCCATTGGCTTATTACAAATGGTATAAATATACATAAATGATCATAAATGAGTCTCCATGGTGGGTCATCCATGGTCAACCCATTTTTCAATCACCACACAAAAGGTGAAACAAATGCCAGCTTCTATGGAGAAAATGGTAATGGGATAATCACCACATATGGGATCATGGGAATATGAATGGGATATTTGATCACCATAATGGGTTTCACTCGATTCAGATTCGATTGATGAATGGGATAATATAAAAATAGGATATGATTCATGGGATATACGGATATACAACTACAAAAAATGGGATATCACGATTTTTGTGGGGTAGCCTAATTTTTAAGACACCATGATCTTTGATCAGCCAAACACCAGGAATCGTGTGCAGATTTTGGCGTGAAAGGATGACAGCGCAAAATGGCGGACGTCTGAAATCCTTCTGAACATGAACGGATATCAGTCTGTCTCATAGGGCAGTAAAGCCAATGATAAGCTTGCAATTCGGGGATGGTTCATACTGCAATCCATTTCTTGTGAAATTGGGGATCATTTATTGTTGGGTTTACTACCAAACTTGTGGCCACTTGAATAGGATAACATCAAGATGAACATCATACGTAGGAAAACTCCTGGGGTTTTCCCGGACAACATCAATTTCAGCCATGGTGCTGGTACTCATAGCCATCCTCAGTCTGCTTCCTGCGCAGCCAATCCAAGTTCCGACTCTGCTTAGCCTCAATGATGCACCATTACTACTTACAACTGCGGTGAATCCCAATTACCACTCCGAAAGGTGTGGGATTTTTTTAACCAATCTGAAGAGTACATCCCAGCTGCAGGTATCAATAATTATATATATATACATACAATCTCGACTGTAATCGCATTCTTGATCTTGTCTGGAAGCGTTATCTTATTTGGCCAAGGGCTTTAAAAAATGGCCCAGCCGTGCCCAGCACGTGATCTTCTCCGTCGAGACCAATGATTCGAGCGCGGCCGTCATGACTTGCTGGGAAACATCACCACAAGCTCTCTATGAAAACCTGACCTGGTTGGTGGTTTTAATGGTTAATAGTGGTTAATAGTGGTTAATAGTGGTTTATAGTGGTTAATAGTGGTTAATCCACAAATAATAACTGGTTGGTGGTGCAATTTCACCATCTTGAAAAATGATGGAGTTCGTCAATGGGAAGGATGACACTTTGTCACTTTGCGGCTGCTGTGCCCTTTGGCACTTGGTCTCTTGCATTGCTACAAACCGCCTGTACAGGACGAGGTCAGGTCACAAGGCCATGATAGTCAGGCTGGACTACTCCATCGTCCTCAAAAACTTGCTGTTTGAAGCAGGTGGGCTCAATGGGGAGTTCCTGGCGCAAAAGCTTGTGGTCAAATGTATCCTCCACAAAGCGGCGCACTGCTCGACCCAGAGCTTGGTTCAGGCCTGCAGGGTAAACTTTGCCTACAGCTGTACGGAACACTCCTGTTGCATCTCGACCTTGCAGTTGTTCGTGGGCACCCTTTCGATGGTGACATCGTCCTCCATGGCCCGTGGTGAGGAGCTCGTGCCGAAAACTGTCAAGTCGCAGGAGTAAAATTGTAGTGGGTTTCTTGGCGGGCGATCCCACCACACACTGGTCAAAACTGGTCACACTGAAGCAGTTGAGGGTTTTGCATAACCTGGCAAATCTGGAAGACCAAATGCTGGCCGGGTCATGGCGCACCGCCCACAATGGCCATTGCGGATGCTCTGCAAACCCGCACCCCCCAAAACGGGCCAATTCCAGCAAAATTTCAAAAATGAAATAGACCAGCCGCGACCCGATTCGGACCTGCATCCACTCCCTGGCATTCAAAGCTGGGAGACCGTCAGGATGGCTGCCAGTGCGAAGTGGTCGTGGTCCGTCGGGTAGGAAGCGGGCAGCAGTGAATGTTTCACAAGGTGGGCCCCCACCGGCGCCAATGATTTGACCCGCCCGGATGCGCTCGAGCCACCAGCTTGTCGCGTTGCTGGTGGCTAAATTTCCATCCTTTTTCTGCATACACATATCGACCGATATGGTCATGATATGTGTGCCGCCCTCCAGCGGTATGTCTTCGATGACTTGGTGGAGGTCTTGAGCTCTCCGATAACCACTGAAGTAATGCACGAAGACTAGCCATTTGATGTGTAGCCTGGCGGCTTCACGTGCAAGGCCAGCTGTGGCAAAGACCCCATCACCTGCATTCGGGCCAGGTGGTGCCTGCAGAACAAAGGCTGGCATGTCATCTTCAAAAAGATAAACTTGTGGCGTCTCCGGTGGTTCGGCAGGAGCGCATCTCCCTTGCAGTTCCTGGAACGCGGCTCCAGGGGCTTGCGTTCTAGCTTCCCATTTGAGCTTGAAGGCGAGGGCATCTGGGGTATTGGGGGGGGGCAGCAGCGGCCCGTGGATCTTGAACGGCGGCAGGAAAGCTTTGGTCTTCCACCATCCTTGTGTCCTCATATCCCCTGCATATTGCTTGCCCTCATTGTCCAGGCGTTCCACCTCATCTTCCGGGCCGGGGGGAAAACAGTGCTGCAATGTGAGTAGGCAGGCAGGGCAGTCATACAGGTGCATGAGGAGCCGTGCTCTGGCATGGTAATACTTGCCGCACGCATCACATGTGGCATGGAGTGCGTAGTATCTTTCGATCCGTTTGTATCCATGTGCTCTGGCCGCATGGGATGCTAGTCCTCTTTTGGAGGGGAAGCAGCGTTGGCATAGGTCGCATTGCCATTTGCTTTGCACCTGTTGTGAGTCAACTGGCAAGACCCCTCCATTGGATTGGAAGACACGGCAAAATCTGTCAAGGGAGACCTGCTTTTCGGCAATGGCAGTGCAGTATTGCAGGCATGAGAAGGCAGCTCTACGTATGCGTCCCTTCCATGACGTGTCAAGGGCAATGATGGGTAACCACACCTGAATGTCATCTGAGACTGGGGCAAAGGCGACATCATAGTGCATGCGAAACCATCTGAAAGCCTCTTGGCAAGCGGAAATCCAGGAGAGGTCGTTGGAAGCATCTGCCATGATCAGGTCCCAGAGCACCTGGGGGCAGGCGACTGTAATCCGCTTGAGGTACCTAAGGCGTGCCACTTGGAGCGCATGCTTGGGTGGGAGGATTCCCGCCAATGCTGAAACAGCATCTGTATCCAAGTGCAGAGGGTTGACCCCTCTTAGCTTGCTCTTTACCATGAGGCCATAGGGCTTGCGCAGAGCATTGTGCCATTTGTCCCATGCCTTGGGTGGAACGCCAGTCCAGACATGTGCATTGTACATGAATTGGCTGAGTGCAGTGGACTGGAACACTTTGGATTTGGTCTGCAATGAAACATAGGGCTTGTTGTAAAAGGGTCGGGCTAGTGTTCCCCAGGTTGAGCGGGCTAGGGCACTGCGCTGCTGAATTTCCTTGCCATGTACATTGCCAGCTTGGATCCATGTGCCCAGGTGTTTATATGCATGCGTCACTCGAAGGGCAAAGGGACCTTGGTCTGTATGCCATTTCAACTGGGACCCTTCTGCTGCAATTGACATCTTTTTGCTTTTGGAGCCTTTGCCAACAATGTGCCAGAGAACTTCAGTCTTACCTTGTTCAAAATTGATGGTAAGACCCCTGCGCTTGGAGGCAACTGTCATGGCTTCGACTACTGCCTGGATCCCTGATTCAACCTGCTGGTTGGATTTGCCATGGATTCCGAATGCACAGTCGTCAACAAAGGAGATGTCAAAGCATCCTGAGGACGGAAGGTCATTGGCCGTGGTGAAATCTTCACATAACTGCTGACCACCATACCACTTCAAGTCAGGGTGAGCTTGGAGTTGTACCTTGGCATCTCTTAACAAGCAGGACATGACCATGTTGAACAGAATGTCCCCAATGGGGTCACCAGGGCGTGTGCCTCGTCGGGTACGACATGGCTGTGGGATTCCATCAATGAAAAAATGCGTGTTGACCATCACATCCTTCAAAATGGCTAGCATGTGTTGGGTGACTCCCTGCAAGGCAAAATCATGATCAACGCTTTCGGCAATGGTCTCGGCAATGTAGTCCTGAATGCCCAGCGCTGTGAGCACAGTTTGCAGCTTCGCCAGGTTGCCATCGCCAGGGAAGAGTGCTTCCCTGATCACACTGTAAAAGGCGGCCCGCACATCAAAGAAAACAATGGCGGCAGGACACTGCTTTTTGTGGGTCCAGTGCCAAAACGTCTGGAGCACATGATGTGCCATATCTGTGCCTTGTCCCTTGCGTCCGCCAAGTTGCAGTGAATGAATGGACCGGGTCCATGCCTGTTCGAGAGGGCTTCGCAATGTCATGTGATAGAGCTTCGCTGTGAAGTCAGAGACAAAGATAGATCTGTATCCCTCGGGTTCGGAGGGGTGCAGCTTCCCTTTGTGGAGTGGGAAGAGTCGTCCTCCCTTCCATGAAAGGGGTTCATGCGAGTGAGCAGCACACTTGGTCACCAACGCAAGAAATTGTCTAGCAAAAACCTCGCCCCCAGCTTTCAAGAGGGCTGGAGGGAGACCATTTGGCCCCGGCGCCCGCCCTCTTTTCAGCTTGCGGATACCTTGATGGATGTCCCAGAGGGAGGGGAACGATCCTGGGTCTTGGATATCTAGAGCATGTCGGGAGAGGTGCTTATCCATCGAAGCCAACTCACGAAGGTCAATGGTTTGTCCAGCCTCAATTTTTGCGAACTGTTCCATCCAGATCCATTGTCTTTCTTGAAAGGTTCTGGTGAGGGTGCCATCCTCCTTGCGCAGCATGGGGAGAGGGCGCAAGGATCCCGTTCTCTTGCGGTTTCGGCCTCCTAGGCGCAGTAGGGTGCGAAACACTGTGCGCAAGTCCCCCAGGCTGTCAGAGTTTTGCAGATGCACCAACAGTTGATCATAATAGACACCTAGATCTTCTCTCACAGCTTTTCGGACCTGTTTTTCAATCGGCTTGAGGAGCTCTTTGAACTCAGGTGACTGCGCCAGGTTCCAGTGCCGGGCACAATCGAGCATGTGACGTTTCATTGCGATGGCTTCTAGCGTGGAGGCTCGGAGCTGCGGCCTTCGTTTGGAACGCGAGGCACATCCAAAAAATTGACATCCAAGTTGATAGATCTGCTTTTCAAACCAGGCAGTATGCGCTTCAACTGAAGTGGACCATACCGGAATTGGCAAAGTGGCAAGAGCCTGTCGAAATGCAGAGGTACGGTCAGGACACAAAAAGGCTTGTTCATCCCACATGAAGGGTTTTCCGGCCGATACTCTGCTTTTGAGAATGCCATGAACCCTAAGGCAAAGCGGCAAGTGGTCATCATGGCAAAAAGTGGTGTCAAAGTCGGCAAAAACCTGCGAGTCAACTACAATGTCAAGAACTCTTTGCGGGACTAACACATAGTCACGTCGGTATTTGGCACCATTGGAGTGGGTCCATGTGTGGTGATGCCCAACATGAAAGTGTGCAAAGGTCGATGGGACAAAAAGCTCATGTTCCGTGATGAAATTGCCAAAAAGTCTCCCTTGTGGATTGAGCTGTTCGGCTCCCGCTTCACCGGTGAAAGGAGAAAAATCCTGGTTGATCGGTGCATTCGCATCAGCAAGTATCCAAAACAGCTCTGTATTGGCATAGGAGCGTATGAGGTGAGAGGTTTCCTTCCACCATGCTTCCAAATCATCAATTGGACGAGTGCCGTC